ACGAACACAAAAATAGTATCAATATGGATGGTTTAATCCCAATGGCGTTTAGGGCCATGAAGAAGAACCTAACTCGTCGTCGCTACGAGAGTCTCTCTTCCTCTGGCATGGCTCGTGACTCTTACGACGTCGTTTCCGATTTTGAAATGAACGTAGACCACCGTCACCATCGCCGTCGTTGGTCCATCGGAGATTTCTCATCGTTATCAAGCCGAGAAACAAAAAGAAACGGCGGTGGAGTAGCTCCGGAGAAAGGTTGTACTCCGCCGCGTGAAGGTCAACTTGTGAGATTCAAGAGCCATAGATTGTTTTCTTGCATCTCAGGTCAATAAATTCAAGAAAATTCTTAAACAACAAAAAAAAAAAAGAGAGGAAAATTTGCATTTTGTTTCGTTTTATGGTTTATTTAAATTACAAAGTTCAGTTATTTTCGGTGTAAAATCATGTAAATTTTGTGATATTTTCATATCAACTATACTTAAAGTTTACGGTTTAGGGTTTTGTTATGGATTTGTATATTTGTTGGGTCTTAAACGAGAAAACGAAAGTTTTATGGGTCAAACTGGAAATAACTATAATTCCAAGCCAATATTCAAAGAGATGCATTGTCTTGTTCAATTGAACAGAGAGGAGCAAAAGAACAACAATGGTTTGCAAAAAAAAAGTGTAGTCAGTAAAAACAAAGAGAGTACTAGCTTAAACGCGAATAAGCTCGATAAAGCTGAAACCTTTTTCGATTATACTACAAAGTGAGAGTGCGTCTGTATAGAACTTCTTCATCACTATCCTCGTCTTCTTCTTCATCAGACACTATCTCACCGCCTGGCATTTCTAACTTCCCACCCATGTCGAATATTGGACCTTTGGTGTCTGGATCGATAAAGTTACCTTCCAACCGTTCCTCGAATCTTTGGTCGCTGCAATTGAGGAACCAGTTTAATGAACTCCTAATTCCTTTGCTCTGTAGCTTCTGGTACCTCGGTTTGATTCTTGACTCCAAGCTATAAGTAAAATACTCCGGATACTCCACGAGTTCTTTCATCGGTCTACCCATCTCAGTCTTGTAAAAGTAGTAGCTATTCTTCATGAGTTCGACTCGTGAACAAAGGATCTGAGGACATCTCACAACCATTTTCGCAATGTCCTCGAGCTGAAATGCCCGGCCCAAGAGAAAGTCTACGGGTTTCATTATCACGTTCTGCTTAAGGCTTACAATCTGTGGCATTTTCTCGACCACACGAGCGAATCCTTCAGGATCAATCTTGAGCTTCAAGCTGAAAAAGTACTGTTGTGTAGACATCTTGGCCTTTACCGGTAACCCGAGAATTTGAGGATACTGTGCTATAACCAAAGCTAGTAGCTCTCTCTTGATGCCAAAACTAAGTAAGCAATCTACATTTGGTTTAACAGTCTCCTCGAGATTGTATCCGATTATATATGCACGTTTCTCTAGCATCCTAGCCACGATTTTCTTCGGCAACCTGATGGAGATGAGATAATCTACAAGAGGTTTGATCATGGTTCCAACTCTCATTCCCAAAAGATAAGGATACTGAGTCACCATTGGACCAATATCCCTAGGACTCACACCAATACTAACCAAATACGCAACCGATGTGCTCATCGTGCCTTCGAGCTTAAACCCTAAAAGCTCTGGATACTTCATCAGTACATAGCCTAGATCTTGCTTCTCAACATCAAGCCCTCTAAGAAACTTAACCACAGGAGCAAGCTCAACAACCACACTAGCGTGGAGAACCTGAGGATAATTCTTAACAAATTCTCCTAATTTCGACCTAGAGATTCCGATTTTCTCTAAATAAGCCAAGACGGGTATCAAATTCTTACGCACACTGCAACCTAACATCAAAGGATACTCATTGATATCATCTATCGTTAAACCTAGTTTCTGTAAGAACTCAACACGCTCACACATGACTTCAATCGTTGAAGGTAACTCAATACTCTCCAATTCATCAGTGATTATACCTAAACCCTTGAGATAATCGCAGATTTTGACTCGATTCACGAGCTTTTCTTTCTTCCCTTGTATAACTCCCCATGTAACAGTGGGCATCTCGTACTCTGGAAACTTGGAAGATTGAGTTGCATAGTGAGCGATTCTGAAAATCGAACAAGGGTTTCGAAATTGAGGGATATAAGGATCTGGGTTTATCAGGGTTTTGGTTTCAGAGGAAGTGAGCGGAAGGATTAGGTACTGTCTTTTGATCAAAGATAAGAACTTGTTCCTCCTGGGAAGAAGATAACTCATTTCTGGAGAAACCCAGAAGATTACGCTTATGCAGAGAAAAATCAAAATGGGTAAATAGAAAAAAGTTTATCTCTTTCTCCGAAACTGAAAGGGTTTTGCGATTAGAGGAGTGAGTGAAGAGAGAGAAGACCTAACCCCAATCAATAGAGAGTGATTAAAAACTTCAACTTTTAACTATCTGGCAAAAAATTTCTTTTTAAAATCATAAACTTGCACTTCAATGAATATTGAATTCGATGATTTTGAACCAATCCACTGAAAAATCTCATAAAAAGCAAAACTTCAGAACATTAGGAGAATTTTTATGTATAAGACTTCAATGGTTCAGAAAGGAGAATAACATTTAAGGTGAAGAGTTCAACATGAACAATACAATTGTAAGTTTCCTGTATATACCCAAAGAGAACCACAATTATCGATGTTGTAATTCAAAAGCCTGTCTTGAAGGGAGAAGAAGTGGGAACCAAAAACATCTAATTTTCACAGCTGATGATTTGGTCAAATCTGTCTCAGCTCTTCTAGAACCCACCATTTGGTTGATGCATGCAGTGACAAAACTCAGGAAGCTCAACGCATGTTTCCCTCTCTTAAAACATCGATCATGTTGTAGATTCGCTGGTCTGCTTTCAATCGAATCTGCATTTCACAAAAAGTGTTGAAACAACAATTAGTTATAGAGATAGAAGAGAGTCTCGTAGAGAGCTGAGATTCGATATTCGCAATAGCATGTGAGCAAAAGGAGTAGGTTTTTAGGAACCTTTTTGGCAAGGAAAAGCACGGCATCAACAGTACCCTCAGCGTATATTGATCTGCCACAGACATTGTGCTGGAACTCGAAGGAGACACTGCAAAGAGAGACAAAGAAAAGGGAGCTAGTTATGGAACAGACACACTTTTACAGTAGCGATAAAAATGTCTTAGATATTGCATTACGTTTCATCGGGTGATGTCAAGTGATAAAGATGGAAAGCGTGGCCAGAGACATGCTCTTCGGGAACACCCACCATCTCGATTTGCTGTTTTGGATCTCGAATCAATTGTATCTGCCACAAAAGTTGTATACACAGAAAATTCATATCCTGAGGATAACTAAGTCATTCCCGAGATGTAACGATTAGAGGACGACCAATGCACCTGATCCATGTCGTAAGACACACCCAAATCCTGGAAGCAAGAAATAACAGCTTTTGCTGTTCCGGATGCATCTAATTTACTAGCTTGATGAGACTCCATCACCTACAAATAGATTGGCAGTTGATTAGACGTAGCAAGCAGTAGAATAAATGTAATGAAGAAAAAGTGCATTTGAATGTATAACAAAAGTAAGAAAAGTACATCCAAGGAATAACCAGAAAACGCTCCCGGAAACTGCTCAGCCATGATCTCCATGGCGGCAAGAAATGCAACAACCTAATGGACCAACAAAGCACAAAGATATGAGTTAAATGATGTTAATTTACATGCATAAATAATAATTTCTTCCCGAAAACTCCCGAGTATACATACTTGTTTACCCATCTGTGGGGAAATCACAGCATAAATCTTCGCTCTCTCAACAGTTTCATACAATTTGTTCCTGTCTCCACCGGTTGTTCCCATGACGAAGGGAACACCTACTTTGCTATACAGCTCCGCATTATCTACATTTCACGAAAATCCCAAACTTGAAATCAACTAACAACAAAAGATCAATTCTAGCAGCTTACACAAAATTCTAAGGATCGTTCCTCCAACCAAAACTCAAGCATAATTCAACAAATCCCGAATACAATTGTACCACTTGATGTGTAGAAATGGGTAGAGATTCTGGAGTTACCATTTATTGCAGAGGGAATCGTGTAGTCGACAACAATTAGCTCCGGGTGCTTCTCAAACACCGAAGAAAGAACCTTTTCTCTTTCAGTAGAACCGTAGACAGTAATCTCCTTTCCACAGACCTCAACTGTCTGACCAGACTCACCAGCAGATCCGAACGACGTGGGAACGATATTCACTCCTGCAGCGTCTGCTGCTTTGATTACAGCTTTCCCCATTTTGCCACTGCATCCATTCACCTGTAGTATCAGAAATTATATATGGCTTAACCGAACATTCCCCATTTCAAGCTCTTAACTTGACCTGCCAGATTGCTACTGATCGAATAAAAGGCACAAACTTTATCATTTCTACATTTCTAAACTATATGTATCTCGAGAAAATCACAATCATCACACTAATGCAAAGTAAAATCTCACAACTCTAATCAGATGATCCTATACCATGATTGATATGCCATTTCCAGGCAGACCTGACTTCACGGCTTCTCCACCGGAATTCTCCGTCGTCGTCATAGATAAAACCACCGGAAGACGACGTCTCCGATTGCTCAGGAAACTAACACGGCCTTTACCGCTTTTTCCAACCGTCTGATTCGTTCTACAAGCAAATGCAATACGCGAGAGATCTGGGCGGTGAAGAAACACACTCGAAGACGCCATTAACCTGTGATAAAAAAAAAACGCTTGTTTCAGTACATTCTCTTATCATCTCCATCAATCATACCCAAAATTCCGACGTGACCGTACCCGTTCGTAGCCATTTCCTAATTGATTAAGGAATTACTTCTCCAAGGAGACGAAAATCTCGTTCTTCCGTTGCGACAGACAAAAAGTTCAAATCTTTCACTTTTGTCTGAACATTCCGGCCGGCGAGAGATTTGGGATTTAGGGTTTAGCTTATCCCTTATCATCAAACCGGAAATCTCTAAACCAAACTAGTTTATTCAATAAAACCGGAATTAAATATTAAACCGGGAGCTTTAAACCATAGGGAAGCTTCTCTACTAGTGAGAGGTTATTAGCGAAGACTCAAAAGAAATCCGACGAACGAAAATGGAGTCGTTAACTTCGCCGCCGTGTCTCCGACTAACTCCGACGGTACACCGTCAGTTCCATTCGCGTCGATCTTACTTCGCCGGTGACATTCACGGTGGCTCTTCTGTAAACAAATCCAATAGCCTCTCATTCTCCTCATCTGCATCCGGTATGCTTGCTCTTTTCGCAGTTTCTCTCTAATAATGTCTCAATCGAATCTCGCACTAATGTGTAATTTCGTGTTAAGGGTTTTCATCACCACTCGCTGTAGCGAAGGAGCTACGGTCTTCGTTTGTACAGACGGCTGCTGTTCGTCATGTCACTGGGTCTCTTATCAGAGGCGAAGGTCTTAGATTCGCCGTCGTGAGTTCTCTGATTTGATGACTTTGATCTTATTTAGATTGATTTACAGTGAAATCGAAAGGTTGGGTTTATTTGCAGTGAGCTTGTTTTCAATTTTTTGTTTGTTTCTCAATGTTGTTTTCAAGGTTGTTGCTCGTTTCAATGAGGTTGTGACTAAGTTGCTTTTAGAAGGAGCCATTGAAACTTTCAAGAAGTATTCAGTCAGAGAAGAAGACATCGAAGTAAGAACTTTTGCTTGTAAAATTATATGCTTGATCAGAATAACAAGATCTGAGCTTTTGACACTCCTTCTGATCAGGTTATATGGGTTCCTGGTAGCTTTGAGATAGGGATTGTTGCACAAAATCTTGGGAAATCGGGGAAATTTCACGCTGTTTTATGTATCGGTGCTGTGGTATGTTTCTTGCTTTTAAACTATTCTCAGGCTATCCAGTTGTGTTTCCTCGTATGACTTATGTTGCTCACACATGTTTAGATTTGGATTTTTGATCTACTGATGTTCTTGTTGTGGTTAGATAAGAGGAGATACCACACATTATGACGCTGTTGCCAACTCCGCTGCATCCGGAGTACTTTCCGCTGGCATAAATTCAGGTTTATCTCGATATTCGTTTGCGGGATAAGCATTTTCATGTAACATTGTTTTGAAAACAGAGAAAGATAGTTTTTATACTTCCAAACCTAAATAGCTGGTGGTTTCTTATTTGCCTTTCTTGGGTTTTTGGATAATTATATTCCCAACTCATCAATTAGTTCTTCAAATTTTGTTCTAGCTGTTCACTCGCTGTTCGTTTCATCGTCTCTTGCATTTAGTATTGGTTTTGCGGTAGCAGTAACTAAAAGCCTATAATTCCCAAATTGCAGGCGTTCCATGCATATTTGGTGTACTGACATGCGAGGACATGGATCAGGTAAGTTGTGTTATGCAAGAGTTGATGATATATTGCTTATTCATAATACAGAAGTTGTTAATATTGTGGTGAACTGAAACCCTAGGCTCTGAATCGATCTGGTGGCAAAGCCGGCAATAAGGGCGCTGAAACTGCATTGACGGCGGTAAGTATCATAATGATCAAATGCTATATTCTTAGAACAAGATCTCGAAATTTCTGATCATCTTGTTTAAGCAAGTGGTCATGTTGTTATCTATCACCACTCGGGTTCTTGTCTCTTAATTTTTCTCTCATTTCTCTGCAGCTCGAGATGGCGTCATTGTTTGAGCACCACCTGAAATAGCTTGCTCGTTCCAATGGATGAACAATGATCACGTATGAGAACTTCTTACCGTCTCGCATTTGTTCACAATCCAATCTTCCGAAATTGTACCTCAAAGATCGTTAAATTTTTTTTTTTTTACTTTTGTAAGCTTTGTTGTCATTTTCTGAATCATGTAACAATAAATTCCTCCGACTTTTTGGGGGCGAGTGGGTTTTTCTGCACCAATAAAAAATTCGACCTCCTTTGTCATAAATATCTTGAAATTGAGGTGTGGAAATGGAATTATAAGAAGACCAATAGTGTTCTTACACGACGAAGATTTTTTGTCGGCTAGCGAAAATATACGATTACATTTACGCGTCACATTTATTATTATATAGTTAATAGTATAGTTCAACGAATCAGCCATTTCCACAAAACTTAAATCATCTTTGTGACTTTTGTTTGAGCAATCTCTTCTCTCTATCTCTGTGACTCACATTCATCCAATTCTCCAGGTAAATTCAAATCAAATCCACTAAAGTTTTCTTCTGATCGTTGCTTGTTCTTACGTTGATCATTTCTGATTTGATCGGAAAAACCGTTGGAAAAAGGTGATGATTAGATCGAGTTTTTGCTGATTCTGACCTTATTCTTCCCGATCTGTTTGTCATTTCGCTTGATCTTGCTCGATCTTGTTTAGATCGAGTATTCGGATCTGCGTTTTTTCGGTTTTCTCATGTATCCACTTGATTGACGTGATCTGATCATTGTAGATGCAATGTATGTTCTTTGGTTCGAACTATAAGGAATAGAATGTTGTTGTGGTTCAATTGTATCATCTAGTTGATGAGATCTACTGTGATTCAAATTCTCGATGGTGTTTGGTGAGAAACTTTCCTTTTCATTTTCTAGGTAGTGTTTGAGTTTGACTGTGTTTTCTTACTCTGTTTTGGTGTTATCTGAGCAGTGTAAACGTGATCTGCCCTTAAGAAAAACTGTAATTATTGTGTGGTTGTTCTAATGTATCTTTTGTTTCTGTGTTGCTTAATTGCTGAGTTTTGAATCTGTTTTCGATGCAAAGCGCTTGATGTCTTGTTGCTTGTTTAGGTATGTCGACATCTGAGGATAAAGTTGAAATATCTGAGAAGAAAGTGGAAATCGTCGATAGAGGTCACAAGGAAGAGGAAAAAGAAGAAGGGAAAGGTGGATTCCTCGATAAGGTGAAAGATTTCATTCATGACATTGGTGAGAAAATCGAGGGAACCATTGGGTTTGGGAAGCCAACTGCTGATGTCTCTGCTATACATATCCCTAAGATCAATCTCGAGAGGGCAGATATCGTTGTAGACGTGCTCGTGAAGAACCCGAATCCGGTTCCTATCCCTTTGATCGATATTAACTACCTGATCGAGAGCGATGGGAGGAAACTTGTTTCTGGATTGATCCCTGATGCTGGAACAATCAAGGCTCATGGAGAAGAAACTGTGAAGATACCATTGACTTTGATCTATGATGACATCAAGAGCACTTACAACGATATTAACCCCGGGATGATCATACCGTACAAGATCAAGGTTGATCTGATTGTGGATGTGCCAGTGTTGGGAAGACTGACATTGCCGATGGAGAAACATGGGGAGATCCCGATTCCAAAGAAACCCGATGTTGATATCGAGAAGATTCAGTTCCAGAAATTCTCCTTGGAAGAAACCGTGGCGATTCTCCACGTGAGGCTTGAGAATCTGAATGATTTCGACTTGGGGCTTAACGACTTGGACTGTGAGATTTGGTTGTGTGATGAAAGCATTGGGAAAGCAGAGATATCGGATTCGATCAAGCTTGATAAAAACGGAAGCGGATTGATTAATGTGCCAATCACATTCCGACCAAAGGACTTTGGTTCCGCGCTTTGGGATATGATCCGTGGTAAAGGAACTGGATACACTATCAAAGGTAATGTTGATGTTGATACACCATTTGGAGCTATGAAGCTTCCTATTATCAAGGAAGGTGGCACGACCCGTCTGAAGAAAGAAGACGATGACGACGACGATGAGGTTATTATATGTTCTTTCTTCTCTTATTTGCTTCATTAGCTTGAAGATTTATGATCGTTTTGCTTACAAATCTCAACTTTGTTTTCTTACAGGAGTAAAAGGATTAAGAGCTCAAGAGAAAGAGTGGTTTAATAAGTACTGAATCTCCAATCTTTTTAAAAATGTTTTTAAGTTAAAATGAAAGACTTATTTTGTTGTGCTTTTGATCAGACTTTTGAATAGAGGTGTCTTTTTTTTGGACTTCCTGTATCATTTTGGTCCGGTGCGCTTGGTGTTATGTGTTTGTTTAAACCGTGTTTGGATTGGAGATATTTTGTTATTAAGTAATTCGCATGGTTATTGTCGATTACATTTGTATCTTGTCACGATGTCACTAATTACAAAGTGTTCATCCATACTAAAAATTATAAAATCTCATATGTATGACTGACTGTAACAAGAAAATTAACCGTAATTACTTTCACGTTTCAGCGTTTGCATAATTACCAATTTACCATTAGTAGTACCATTACAAAGCCGGGTGATTTTTTTTCTGAGTCACGGTCGGGATGACCGGTTATAACCGGTTTGTGTAAACCATTAGCATTTTACCCTCATGGTTTACGAAATCAAACCCTTTAGTTTCCTCTTCGATCAGAGCCGCGTTGTTTCTCTCATCTCTATCAAATTTCTTCAAAGCTTCGATTTTGAATCTCTCAGGTTTGTCTCAATCTCAAATTCGATCATCGTACAGAAGAATCAGGTCGATTTATTGATAAACCCAATTACTCTCTTTCAAATTGTAATGCACTGCTCTCGTTGAAATGATTCTCGATATCGTAATCGTAAAGTTTTTTTATTGGGAATCGAAAATCTTTGTGATGATTTTGTAAGTAGAAATCTCTGGGTCGCGTAAAAATCCCTAATTTTAGAGATATTGTGTTTGTTTGATAGGTTTGGAGGTAGAGTGTGAAAAAAAAAACCCTACTTTTTTCACTGATTAGAGAGCAGTCATTCCACATGTCGGCTCTTGTGGCGTTATGCAGAGCTCGAG